CTGTTTCCACTGCCAGAAATGAGTGCTTATGCTGCATCATTTTATTTATTCTGTATTGTCATTCATCAGTATAGTATCTACATTTTGTTTAATCTGTATAGTAGTTCATTAGCATTACATGTTATCATATTGTGTATTTTGCACAGTAATCTCGTTACCTCCAACAGCTCTCCCCTTTTTCTTTCCCCCCTGTCAGTGTTGTATGCTCTCTCTGCTTTAGTATCTTATTGCATAATTTGTATATTCTGTATAGTACTTGCGTTAGATATTTGTGTTTCTTACAGCTGCTCTCCCCCCTTTTTCCTGCCCTGCAGCATCAAGCACCTTTGCAGCTCCAATTAATTTATTCTGCATAATGGTTTATTGTTATATCTTGTATTGTATCATTTGCATAAAAATTGTTTAGTATATCTGTTACTTCCAGCCACCTTGCCCATTTCTTTTCCCATTCCAGTGTGGAGTGCTTCCGCTGCACCAGTTTGTTTGTTTTCCATATAGTTATTGATAAAATGTATACATTGTGTTCATTCTGCATAGTAGTCCATTTGTATTTCATGTATTATATTGTGTATTTCTGGATAATAATCATATTACTCCCAGCAGCTCTCCCCTTTCTACTTGCCAGAATTGAGTGCCTTACTGTTTTCTACCAGCTCTTTACTCATTGTTTTTGACTCTCATCCAACCTCCTTCCTCCACATTAACATCACCCTAAGCTCTGACTCCCGCCGGAGTCAATAGGAGTTTTGGCTCTCGCATGAGCCTCACCTATCGCCTTCACCTTCCAGTTTCCCCTGCCAGTGTCAAGTGCTTCCGCTGCATCAGTTTATTTATTCTTTATAGTTATTCACCAGTATCGGCATTAACATGTTTATTCTGCATAGTAGTTCATTAGCATTTCATGTTCTGTATTTTGCATAGTAACCTTATTACTTCAACAGCACCCCCCTTTTTCTCTCCCCTTACCAGCGTTGTGGGCTCCCGCTGCATTAGTATCATTCTTGTTGATTATTTTGCATATTATGCATAGTAATTGTATAGCATATTTTTGTTAATTACAGCTGTTTTTCTTCTGCCAGCGCTAAGTGCTTCCGCTGCCTACTGCAATTTTATTATGCATAGTATTTCCCTAATGTTTCATGTTTTTATTTTATTGTTAATATATTAAATCTTTGTTAATACCAGCTTCCTTCCCCTCTCTTTCTCCCTGCCAGCTTCTAGCAACATGCCAGCATTGAGTGCTTTTGCTGCATAGCAGTTGTATATTCCATACAGTAATTTATATAGCATTGTTTCCTCCAGCTTCTCTCCTTTGTTTACCCCCAACAGCTTTTTATGCTTCCGCTACCAAATCTCTTCCCTCCTCTTAAACAGCCAGCTCCACACCCTTCATTATTGCATCTCACAAACCTTCTCTTAAGCACTGACTCCCGTAGAGGGCCCATTTAAGCCCCAATTTACACACGAGTCTCCACCCACCCTCTAAGCCATTCAGACTCCCTTAGACTTCCTAACTTTATTTCTTAGCCACCAAACCCACCCTGCCCTTCACACACTCCCTAGAAAGCTTTTCCCCCACTTTTTATCAGTTCTTCACATATATATCCAGCAGCCGGATATAGCACTTTTTCTTTGCACTTTGGGGAGTTCCTGTGTAAACACACGGCTGCTGTCCCGAGCGCTTATCATTGGCTTTTTGGGGAGTTTGAGATAGACCTGAGCTCAATCTCCACTCGCCCTGCAAAAGGGGGGGAGCCCTGGGCTCGAGGATCCCTTGAGCTCAGGGCTCTCTCCCGGGACAGCATGCCAAACAAGCTATGTATAAATCATGAGCTAAGTGTGAACTCTTGAAGTGAAGTTTAGTTTTAAACTAAATTCGAGAGGAGCATGTGCTCATGATTTACCCAGCTGGTCCACATTAACTAATTATGATCCTCCAATCAAAGGATCCCAAATCACTATATATATCCTCATTTCCTTTCTACAACTATCTTCGTCTGGAAGAAACCCCCCTCCTCCCCTTCTTCCTCCTTTATCCAGAATGGGTGGCACGGTGGCCCAGTGACTAGCACTGTTGCCTCACAGCACGAATACCAATGGTGTTGGGTCCTCGCTGAGCCATCTGGTATTTCTGTGTGGAGTTTGCATGTTCTCCCCGTGTCCGCGTGGGTTTCCCGGTTTCCTCCCACCATCCAAATGTGCTCTATATTATAGATAAAACAAGCCTAAACCTTTTTTATGATGTCTTACTCTCAGGAAGTTCGCCTTGGCCTCAGCAGCGGGGGAGTTTGAGATAGACCTGAGCTTAATCTCCACTCGCCCTGCAAAAGGGGGGGAGCCCTGGGCTCGAGGATCCCTTAAGCTCAGGGCTCTCTCCCGGGACAGCATGCCAAACAAGCTATGTATAAATCATGAGCTAAGTGTGAACTCTTGAAACATGTGTGTTTTATGTGATAGGTGGGAGTGATAAGAAGACTTCGTCAAGAGTGTGGTTTAGATGCCAAAGGCTCTCGCACAGATCTACTCCTGCGACTTTCGGAGGAGATTAGGTCAAGGGAGGCCTATGACAAGGTTTTTGAAAAGATTTGGGCTGCTTCAGGTAAACCTCAATGTTGCACATTAAAATATTACAAATAAATCAGAAATGTACAAAGTCACATAGACATAATGGGTCCTGTTTTCTGCTTGGCACTGATTGGGGAGTGACTGGTGGTGTACAGCTCTGGGGGGGGTGTTGGAGGTGGCCTCGTCTGACACCTATTGTTGCTTTCCGTGTGGGGGAGTGTATTTACATCTCTGAGGCACTGCATCTTTAAATTTTTTAAAAGTATACTTTGTTAAGGTTAATGCCACTGCCCTCCATCATAACCTATGGTCATTTAAGTCCCAATGTCATTAATGGGATTTGATTATGTTTTCTTAACTATTTGCTTATCTTTTTTGTCTGTTCCAGGAGGTTGGGCTGTCATCATGTGTCCTTGTGGCATAGTTTACAGTATAAAGTGTAATCTGCGAGCAGAAAGTCCACGGGATTTTGCAGATATGCTTCTGTCTTGGAAGCATCTGCCTAATGTTGTTATTTATGACTTTGCCCGTGGACTGTCCACCCACACAAATTTGAGGAAACCCATAACTTTCACACCTTTCAAGGGAAGGTTACTCGAACCAACCACTGAAAATATTGCAAAAGCAAAATCAGGAACATTACGGGTAACTCTGCCATGGCTCACTGCAAAAAAGCAAAGTCCAGATCCGGATGGTCATCCAATAGCTGGTTCTGCAGAACACTATGTTCTGTATGACCGCTTTCACGAAGACAACACAAAAGATCCTCGTGATTCACTGAGGAAGCTTCTTCTTGTGCCTCAACTAGCTGGCAAAGTTAACAGTCAGGCTGCAGAACAGCTTTTTTCAAAGCTAAAGAAAAATAACTACTTTATGAACATGGCATTGCCATCCACACATGTTTTCCTCATGCGAAACATCATCCACCATTACAATGTCAGAAAAAACGAGAAACGTCTTCATGACATAAAAAAGGAATTCAACACAAACATTCACATGAATGACCACAGCCAGGTTGTGTTAGGTAATGTTTCCCTTACTTTATAACAAATACATCACTATATCCATAACTGTACTTATGTGTATATTTGTATTTATAGAAAATCCATCCTCCACAGAGAAATGAATGGACATGTCACTTGGTAATTTGACTGTTATTTCCAGTTGCTTAGTGTCAAGTTTCTGTTCTCTAATTATTATGTGTTATTTTCAAATTTTGATGCTTTAATGTACTCTAAGGTCCACTGACAGCACTGCCAAAAATATTGTGACTTTACAAACGACCGCTGCATCACCAGGCAAAACATGTCACATCTCCTCTGTCATCAGTACCAATTACAGAAAAAACAGCTTGTGAACCTACCACTCTTCTGAATTTTTTGGAACCTACTAAGCCTTGGGAGAGGGACTGGCATCCATTACAAGAGAAACTGGTGAACAATTACCATTACATATAAATGCACACACACACACACACACACATATTTAATGTTATTATTATTACAGCTTGATTATGTGCTGGACCGAAATCGCCCTGGCAGTGAAATAATTTTGAAGGAGGGGCAAGTGTGCCTTATTCGAGAAGAATTTTGGAGCCTTGGATTGTTGAGGGACATGGACTTCCATGTAAGCAGTCTGTTTTTTTATTATAACTTTTTTTTAATTAAAAACATTGACTTATCAAAGTATTTATTGCAGATTGGAAACGCCTGCATGAAGCTTATTTGTAAAATGGCTCGACAAATTGTATGTACTATAAAACATAATATTTATATAGATTGTTTTAACTTGATCCAAATAAAATAAAAAAAAAACAATTTCTAAACTGTGTGAAAATGTTCATGTCATTGTCAACAGTTTCTTTTTATTCATGTAGGGCAAGGACATATACATTGAGGACTTTTATGTTTTCCCTGTGTGGAAAGAAACTCCTAACAACATTGTTACTGGATTACCGGTGCGTGTATGTACTGTATTTACTGTGTGAGAAGTACAACCTAAATTAAACAACATAACTGTCCTGATCAATTCTAGGAAGATGCAGACTTGAAAGACCTGTTAGCTTTTCCAGCATGGACAAATGCCAATGGACCAGACCGCTTTGTTGTCTGTTTAAGAAAATATTGAAATGTCTAGTGCATAAATTAATTGGTATTGCAATGTGTGTGTTTCTAAAATAAAACACTGAAAAATCTTGGAAGAAGCAATAATGTTCAAATGAAATATTTTTACACCTTTAACATTATAGATAATGATGCCGCTTCGAAGAGAGATGGTGTTTTTAGACTCTCTGTACGCAGAGCATGAATCATGATTTGGAGATGAAGAATACAGGGCAATTTTTAGGTCTATCAATAAACTAAGACATGTTTTAGCCTTTATGTGATATATGGCTACGTTCCTATAGCCGATTCTATTTATTTCCTAACCGTGTATTATAGTTCTGCCACTTTTGGCTACGTTCCTATAGCCGTTTCTTGAACTTCTGGCTATGTTCATCTAGCCTTTTTTATGCATGGTGTTCTAGAGTTGAGGTGAGCTGTAATTGTTAGTATTACTACTATGTTTTGTTTACAGGAAAATTGCTTACCAAGTGGATCATGGGACATGGTCTGAAAAGACTGGATATGATTTTCCAGTGAGGAATCAACTTAAAAAAATTATTATTTGGCTTTTACAACAATTAAATTTTTTGTACATTATTCTAAAATAAAATTGATTTGCTTTGCCTATTTTAGGCTTTGCCACGTCAGACAAGAGGGAATGATTGTGGTGTTTTTGTACTCATGGTAAGATATAAATTGAGTTAATTGATTTAAAGATTTTGTAAACATTGTAAATGACTGTGGCTTCTCTCTTTTCAGTACACCCTCTCAATGGTGTGTGGCATTGGGTTTCAATTCCAGGAGGTATTATTTTATTATTTATGTAACTTTATTTTGTTGGTGCTTTTTAAAATCATAGTTAAAATGTAACTATTTTAGTGTATATTATCTTGCTTTCTTCTAAGCAACATATCTTTTAAAAAAAGGGGCATGGTTATTGCAAGCACACCCAACATCATGTATTAACAAAAACATGTTGGTTAACTGTCAGACTAAACAGTCTTTCTTTCAGATGGATATACCTATCATCCGTCAGTGGTGGTGCCTTCTACTCATGGAACAATTTCAAACTGATGGGTATGTCAGTATTTATTTATTTTTCTTGCAAATCTGTAAAATTAAAAATTTATATTGTGTCAATACAACAACTTGTAACATGAATAACAAAACATACTTAAAATCTCTCTTACCGGTGACCAGTATGTCACCGACTCGGTCCCAGTAACTCCCCTCGCTGGCCAGCAGAGGCCACCATCTCCGGACTTTTAGCATTACGTCATCCATCTACACTGATTGCGCATACACCTGATTGGAATCTGGCTAATGACCCACGTACCTCTTATAAGCCGCACTCAAACACTCGTTCAGGGCGAAGTCTTGTTTAGCCCCGGCCAGCATTTCTGAGCATTATCTCCAGCCTGATCTCCTGTGCACGACACCAGCCTGTCTCTTACTTTGCTTCGCATTCTGCCTGCCCACGACCCATGCTTGTTATACGGACTCTGACTCTCTCTCTGCCTGCCCACGAACCACGCCTGTTATACGGACTCTGATCCTTGCTGCCTGCCCTTGACCCAAGCCTGCATAACAGATCCTGGTTCTCGCTCACTCCCTTCCACTCATGCCTGGTAACTCACTCTGTGTCTGTTCATCATCAGTCTTGATACCCATACTACTACTGTGGATGTGTGTGTGCACTCCGGTGCATATTGTGTGTTTGAGTGAAGTTGTGATTAATAAATATTGCATAATGGATCCCTCCGTGTCAGTCTCCACGTTACACAGTAATTATGGATTTTGTCTTGTCTTGTTATTAAAAGCTATGGGCACAGATTTGCTTTCTGGACTGAGGAGGCAAGAAGTGTCTTGGATGGAAAAATTCTGCTCCTTTTTAGGGTGAAAAGAAAAACCACATCCAATCTTCCGGCACATGTCCAAGCAGTTCAAGATTGGGAAAGGAATGACAAAAGATTAGTGGACTTGATTATCACATCAAAATCACCAGAGCAGCATTTGGTGGTATAGATGGTTCCACTTTAAATTACTCCTCTAGACTCTGAGTATGGTTGACTTAAATATAGTCAAGTGACAATTTGACTATTATTTGCCAAATATAATTAATTACTTGTGCATTTACATATGAAATATAATTTCCTTCTATGGCCCAAAGGATATACTCGGTGGGAAAAGGTCAAATTGGTTTCCACTAAACCCCGTTCTCAAGTGCCTGTCTTCATTGAGAATGAGCAGTCCCAGTCAATCATTTATGACTACATCAGAGGAATTCTTAATAAAACCAAAACACAGCTGACCTTCAATGATGAGGTGGAGTTCATTTGTGGATGTCTCCTCCCAGAGGTAATCACAAAACATGTATGTACATGAGCATGCTTATGTTCTGCAGTGTGTGTTTTATTTTATTAATTGGTTTATCTGTATGTTTGTACAGGCCATAACTCATGGCATTTCCGAGTTACAAGGCTTGTCTTGGCAGGAGGCTGAAGATGTCTTCCTCCAGGGCCCCATTTATCACGCAAGGTATGTTTACATTTTATTGTACAAAAGCTGTTAAGTTTTTATGTTAAACACAATTTCTGACAACAGCATTTATTTTTTTTTTTTAGTGAAGTTGAGGAATTTAACAGAAGAATTGCTCGAGAAATGAAAAATCTCCCCAACAAGAATGTAAAGCATTTTATTTTATTTTATATGTAATAAATACATTATTAATCCAAGTATTGTTTTTCACAATTTTTCTCTGCATTTTTTACAGCTCGATGACTTGTAGGACCTCATGAAAATTTATAAAAAAATAAAGTTTGGTGTGAGAAAATTACTCAGAGTACTATCATTTATTCTGTGAATAATAAGATAATGTTCATTCCCTCAACTCAATACTAAAGAGTTTGATAAATCCTTAATGATTTAAAAACAAAAAAACAAAAACAATAAATGACTGAAAATATTTAAGTAACTGAACAATATCTATTTACAAATACAGTTAATTAAAATACAACAGACTTAATGCATTAAATCATAATCTAGTATGTTTAATATTTTATATAATAATGTATTCAATCATAGTGCAATATTTTATAGTAGAAAAATAGTGTAATTTACAATTTATAAATCAATCAATTCAGGTTAGGCAATTTTTCCAACAGCAGGTGGCACTGTCTGAGAAAACGATAGGTCTGGAAGTGCTGGTCTGAGCGAGCAGGTCTGAGCGTGCGGTTGGGTCTCGGGGCCTGCAGCTTCATAATGTTGCCACAGAGACTTAGGGAATGGTCACCTACAGTGGTAGAAACGCGGAACTTTGTCTAGACACTGTTAACAGTGATACCTTTCCTACCCATGACAATATTCTGCTAAATCCTGATTTCATCTTGTAACGCTGGACAGAATTTGGCCCAGGATCTTTGTCCAGTGCATGTGTTAGCAGTTGCAAGGCATCAAAATGATTGATCCGTCCCTGGGTGGGCTTGAACCACCAACCTTTCAGTTAACAGCCGAACGCGCTAACCGATTGTGTCACAGAGACTTAGTGAAAAGTCACCTACAGTGGTGGAAACGCGGAACTTTGTCTCAAAAGGTCTGCTATATGAAACCTAATGTAAGTTTGCTGAGAGAGAGAGAGAAAAGTAACAGAAATGCCCAACGTGGGGCTCGAACCCACAACCCTGACATTAAGAGTCTCATGCTCTACCGACAGAGCTAGCCAGGCGGATGAAGAGTCTCCACTAGAACTAGACACTGTTAACAGTAATACCTTCCCTACCCGTGACAATCTTCTGCTAAATCCTGATTTCATCTTGTAACGCTGGACAGAATGTGGCCCAGGATCTATGTCCAGTGCACGTGTTAGCAGTTGCAAGGCAGCAAAATGCCTAATTCGTCCCTGGGTGGGCTTGAACCACCAACCTTTCAGTTAACAGCCGAACACGCTAACCAATTGCGCTACAGAGACTTAGTGAAAGGTCACCTACAGTGGTAGAAACGCGGAACTTTGTCTCAAAGTCTGCTACATGAACCCTAATGTAAGTTTACTGGGAGAGAGAGAGAAAAATAACAGGAACGCCCAACGTGGGGCTCAAACCTACAACCCTGACATTAAGAGTCTCATGCTCTACCGACTGAGCTAGCCAGGCTGATGAGATGAACTTTTAAGAGCTAAACACTGTTTACAGTAATACCTTCCCTACTCGTGACAATACTCTGCTAAATCCTGATTTCGTCTTGTAACGCTGGACAGAATGTGGCCCAGGATCTATGTCCAGTGCACGTGTTAGCAGTTGCAAGGCAGCAAAATGCCTAATTCGTGCCTGGGTGGGCTTGAACCACCAACCTTTCAGTTAACAGCCGAACGCGCAAACCGATTGCGCCACAGAGACTTAGTGAAAGGTCACCTACAGTGGTAGAAACGCGGAACTTTGTCTCAAAAAGTCTGCTATATGAAGCCTAATGATAGTTTGCTGAGAGAAAGAGAGAAAAGTAACAGGAACGCCCAACGTGGGGCTCGAACCCACAACCCTGACATTAAGAGTCTCATGCTCAACCGTCTGAGCTAGCCGGGCTGATGAGAAGCTCTTTTAGGAACCAGAAACCGTTTACAGTAATACCTTCCCTACCCGTGACAATCTTCTGCTAAATCCTGATTTCGTCTTGTAACGCTGGACAGAATGTGGCCCAGGATCTATGTCCAGTGCACGTGTTAGCAGTTGCAAGGCAGCAAAATGCCTAATTCGTACCTGGGTGGGCTTCAACCACCAACCTTTCAGTCAACAGCCGAACGCGCTAACCGATTGCGCCAAAGAGACTTAGTAAAAAGTCACCTACAGTGGTAGAAACGCGGAACTTTGTCTCAAAAGGTCTGCTATATGAACCCTAATGTAAGTTTGCTGAGAGAGAGAGAGAAAAGTAACAGAAACGCCCAACGTGGGGCTCGAACCCACGACCCTGACATTAAGTGTATCATGCTCGACCGACTGAGCTAGCCAGGCAGATGAGGACTCCCCACTAGAACTAGACACTGTTAACAGTAATACCTTCCCTACCCGTGACAATCTTCTGCTAAATCCTGATTTCATCTTGTAACGCTGGACAGAATGTGGCCCAGGATCTATGTCCAGTGCACGTGTTAGCAGTTGCAAGGCAGCAAAATGCCTAATTCGTCCCTGGGTGGGCTTGAACCACCAACCTTTCAGTTAACAGCCGAACGCGCTAACCGATTGCGCCACAGAGACTTAGTGAAAAGTCACCTACAGTGGTAGAAACACGTAACTTTGTCTCAAAGTCTGCTATATTAAACCTTATGTAAGTTTGCTGGGAGAGAGAGAGAAAAGAAACAGGAACGCCCAACGTGGGGCTCGAACCCACGACCCTGAGATTAAGAGTCTCATGCTCTACCGACTGAGCTAGCCGGGCTGATGAGAAGCTCTTTTAGGAACCAGAAACCGTTTACAGTAATACCTTCCCTACCCGTGACAATCTTCTGCTAAATCCTGATTTCATCTTGTAACGCTGGACAGAATGTGGCCCAGGATATATGCCCAGTGCACGGTTTAGCAGTTGCAAGGCAGCAAAATGCCTAATTCGTCTCTGGGTGGGCTTCAACCACCAACCTTTCAGTTAACAGCCTAACGCGCTAACCGATTGCACCACAGAGACTTAGTGAAAAGTCACCTACAGTGGTAGAAACGCGTAACTTTGTCTCAAAGTCTGCTACATGAACGCTAATGTAAGTTTGCTGGGAGAGAGAGAGAAAAGTAACAGGAAGACCCAACGTAGGGCTCGAACCCACAACCCTGACATTAAGAGTCTCATGCTCTACCGACTGAGCTAGCCGGGCTGATGAGATGACCTTTTAAGAGCTAAACACTCTTTACAGTAATACCTTCCCTACCCGTGAAAATATTCTGCTAAATCCTGATTTCGTCTTGTAACGCTGGACAGAATGTGGCCCAGGATCTATGTCCAGTGCACGTGTTAGCAGTTGCAAGGCAGCAAAATGCCTAATTCGTCCTTGGGTAGACTTGAACCACCAACCTAACAGTTAACAGCCGAACGTGCTAACCGATTGCGCCACAGAGAGTTAGGGAAAAGTCACCTACAGTGGTGGAAACGCGTAACTTTGTCTCAAAGTCTGCTATATTAAACCTTATGTAAGTTTGCTGGGAGAGAGAGAGAAAAGTAACAGGAACGCCCAACGTGGGGCTCGAACCCACGACCCTGACATTAAGAGTCTCATACGCTACCGACTGAGCTAGCCGGGCTGATGAGTTGAACATTTAAGAGCTAAACACTCTTTACAGTAATACCTTCCCTACCCGTGACAATGTTCTGCTAAATCCTGATTTCGTCTTGTAACGCTGGACAGAATGTGGCCCAGGATCTATGTCCAGTGCACGTGTTAGCAGTTGCAAGGCAGCAAAATGCCTAATTCGTGCCTGGGTGGGCTTGAACCACCAACCTTTCAGTTAACAGCCGAACGCGCAAACCGATTGCGCCACAGAGACTTAGTGAAAGGTGACCTACAGTGGTAGAAACGCGTAACTTTGTCTCAAAAGGTCTGCTATATGAACCCTAATGTAAGTTTGCTGAGAGAGAGAGAGAAAAGTAACAGAAACGCCCAACGTGGGGCTCGAACCCACGACCCTGACATTAAGTGTATCATGCTCGACCGACTGAGCTAGCCAGGCAGATGAGGACTCCCCACTAGAACTAGACACTGTTAACAGTAATACCTTCCCTACCCGTGACAATCTTCTGCTAAATCCTGATTTCATCTTGTAACGCTGGACAGAATGTGGCCCAGGATCTATGTCCAGTGCACGTGTTAGCAGTTGCAAGGCAGCAAAATGCCTAATTCGTCCCTGGGTGGGCTTGAACCACCAACCTTTCAGTTAACAGCCGAACGCGCTAACCGATTGCGCCACAGAGACTTAGTGAAAAGTCACCTACAGTGGTAGAAACGCGTAACTTTGTCTCAAAGTCTGCTATATTAAACCTTATGTAAGTTTGCTGGGAGAGAGAGAGAAAAAAAACAGGAACGCCCAACGTGGGGCTCGAACCCACGACCCTGAGATTAAGAGTCTCATGCTCTACCGACTGAGCTAGCCGGGCTGATGAGAAGCTCTTTTAGGAACCAGAAACCGTTTACAGTAATACCTTCCCTACCCGTGACAATCTTCTGCTAAATCCTGATTTCATCTTGTAACGCTGGACAGAATGTGGCCCAGGATATATGCCCAGTGCACGGTTTAGCAGTTGCAAGGCAGCAAAATGCCTAATTCGTCTCTGGGTGGGCTTCAACCACCAACCTTTCAGTTAACAGCCTAACGCGCTAACCGATTGCACCACAGAGACTTAGTGAAAAGTCACCTACAGTGGTAGAAACGCGGAACTTTGTCTCAAAGTCTGCTACATGAACCCTAATGTAAGTTTACTGGGAGAGAGAGAGAAAAATAACAGGAACGCCCAACGTGGGGCTCGAACCCACGACCCTGACTTTAAGTGTATCATGCTCGACCGACTGAGCTAGCCAGGCAGATGAGGACTCCCCACTAGAACTAGACACTGTTAACAGTAATACCTTCCCTACCCGTGACAATATTCTGCTAAATCCTGATTTCATCTTGTAACGCTGGACAGAATGTGGCCCAGGATCTATGTCCAGTGCATGTGTTAGCAGTTGCAAGGCAGCAAACTGCCTAATTCGTCCCTGGGTGGGCTTGAACCACCAACCTTTCAGTTAACAGCCGAACGCGCTAACCGATTGCAACACAGAGACTTAGTGAAAAGTCACCTACAGTGGTAGAAACGCGTAACTTTGTCTCAAAGTCTGCTACATGAACCCTTATGTAAGTTTGCTGGGAGAGAGAGAGAAAAGTAATAGGAACGCCCAACGTGGGGGTCGAACCCACGACCCTGAGATTA